GAGCCCCTGAACCAGGTTGGGCTCCGGCAGGAATTAGCAGAGCAATAAAAACCTGCAGCTCCTGGAATAGAAAGAGGGGAAGTTGGGACTATTGAATGAGTTTTATGAGCTCGGGGTTAAAATCCTTGGATAAACATGCCTCCCTCATCCCCCAGGATGTGCTCTTTGCCTGGGAACAGCAGAAGCAAGGGGATCAGCACTTGTAGAACATCTCCCCCCGCACAGAATTCCATCTTCCCTCACATGTTCAACACTTGGAACAACCTGGAGAGGTAAATAAAGGCTGCTCCTTCTACAGAGCTTCCAGCCTCCCACTCATTTTCCCGAAATGTGCTTCCAAACAATTCCCTGCCACGGCAGCTCTGAGCATCCCAAAACCAGCTCCTGCTCCATCCTTCCTGCTTGCTTTTGTCATATTTCAGGTTAACAGGAAAGAAAATGTGATTTTTAACCTATCGGTGCCCCTTTGGCAGCTCCTGAAAGTGCCAACGCCCAAACTAAGGGGAGTTAGGCACGGAGAGGAAGAAGGAATAATAAAAAGCTGAAGTGGCAGAGCTTTTATTTGGCCTGGGAAACTCTGTCCTGGATCAAAGGGCCGCCCAGCCCATCCTGTCCCCACAATGGGCAGCCCCAGCCTGGCAGGAAGGCTGGGAGGGGGACAATGGTGGAATCCCCAGTCCCCAGGGGAGGCTGGCAGCCCCTGATCCCCCGTTTATGGCCCTATAAACGGGTTTATTCCGTGCCATGAAAGGAGCCGGCCCCCCCTGCAGATGTCAGGGGAATTTTTTTCCTGTCTTTTCTTTGGGAATCCCATTAGGCATGATTCGCTCACGGTGCCAATTCCCACAGGTTAACGAGGTGCTGGATCAAACAGCCCTGAAGGGCTGAAAACCCCACAGATTCCGAGTGGTCAGGAGCAGTTTAATCAGGTTTTGTAGGTCAATCCCAGTTTGATCAGGTTTTGTAGCATATCAATCCCAGCCTCTCCCCTTGTCCAGGCAGCCCCTTCCCTGCCCACGGAACAGATCCCACATTTCAGGGGCACAGATCCCACATTTCAGGGGCACAGATCCCTCAGGAAGCACAGAGGGAATTCCAAACCCTCCAAACTCTCTGTGCCTCCATCCCTTCCTCCCAAAAATCCTCAATTTCCTCTGTTTTCTTCCCAAGCATCCATTTTGTCTCGCTGGGAATCAGGGCATGATCAAGTTACCTCCAGCTGTCACTCATCACCTGAGTCACACCCGCAGGGAAAACAGGGAAATATTTCCTTCCAAAGCCCCCAGGACACCCGAAAATTCCTCTCCTTTCATTAATTAGCCACAGCAGCAAAGCCTTCGCTGGGCTGGGGGAGGATGAAGCCCAAGCCACGCCAGTTTCCCCAATCCAATTTAGGGAATGGCATGAACTTGTCCAGCAGGGACTTTCATCCAGATGGACAGTGAGAGGGAAGATAAAACTCTCAGCAATTCAGAAAATATTAACAAATATCTGCTATTTAATACCCTGCCTTTCCCCCAAACACGCTTCTACCCTTCTCCAGACTTCCATAATGCAGAAATGATGAATCCAGCTGCTCCCGTGAGAGGCACAAACATCACCTGCATCCCTGGGGAATGAAGGGTGAAACATTTCCAGGGAGCTGCTCCCAGCTGGAGCAGGAGCAGCCACGGGGTCTGACCTCCCTGAATCACCCCAGCACCCCTTCCCTCCCTCAGCTGTGCTTCAAACAGCACCAAAGTGCCTCCAAATTGCATTTATAAACCCAGCTAAACAGGGATTTATATAGAAACATTCATTTATAAACTCAGCTAGATGTGTTTACACACAGAGTATAAATTTATCCACTGAGATAAAACCTTGGGTTTACACACAGAGTATAAATTTATCCACTGAGATAAAACCTTGGGTTCGGTTAAATGATAAAATTCCTTTGTGCAGATGAGAAACTTTAGAGCAGGGACTGAACTGCTCCCAGGAGCTACAATAATTCCATCACCTCAGCACCCTCAGGACAGCTTCCCTCCTTCAGCTTTGCTTTAAGCAGCACCAAAGTGCCCTGAAATTTCATTTATAAACCCAGCTAAATCGAGATTTAGACAGAAAGACACATTTATAAACTCAGCTAAACAGGGCTTTATACAGAAACACGCATTTATAAACTCAGCTAAATGTGTTTACACACAGAATACAAATTAATCCACTGAGACAAAACCTCGAGTTCGGATTTCCACCCCTAAATAAAATTCCTTTGCGCAGCTGAGAAACCTTAGGGTAGGGCCAGAACTGCTCCCAGGAGCTGCAATAATTCCATTTCCCACGTGTTCCTCCAGCACTGCCCCGCAGATCCCGAGTCGGGCTTTGGCCCCGGTGAATTCCCGGCGTTTTCCGGCGGGATTTGGTGCCTCTCCTCCCCCAGCCCTGCCCGGGGAAGGCGATAAAGGAACGTTTTGATTGGGAACCGCCGGGGAAAAGGCTGAAAGGGTAGATCCTGCGGCGGGCAGGGCTGTCAGGGCTGTGATGGATTACTGTCATCTGGCAGCGCCAGGATTAATGAGCCCGGGGGCAGGGGGCAGAATTCCAGAGGGAAAGGTCAGCGGCCGGGGCCACGGCACAAGACTTGTTGCCTTTTGATGGTAAACTCATTTTACTGTACTTGCAAGCCTCCTGCCCCGAGCCCTGCCCGGCTCCTGAGGCACAGGAACATCCTCCTCTCTGTTTCCTCGGAAATAACTTCTGCCTCTCAGCAGAACCCCAGCCCCATCACTGGGCTCATCCCAGCCCCATCACTTGATTCAATCCCAGCCCCATCACTGGGCTCATCCCAGACCCATCATTTGATTCAATCCCAGCCCCATCACTGGGCTCATCCCAGCCCCATCACTGGGCTCATCCCAGACCCATCACTTGGTTCACCCCAGACCCATCACTTGGCTCATCTCAGCTCTGTAATTTGGTTCAATCCCAGACCCAAAATTTCGCTCAATCCCAGCCCCATAATTTGATTCAATCCCAGCCCCATCACTGGGCTCATCCCAGCCCCATCACTGGGCTCATCCCAGCCCCATCCCTTGGCTCATCCCAGCCCCATCACTGGGCTCACCCCAGCTCCATAATTTGGCTCATCCCAGCTCCATAATTTGGCTCATCCCAGCTCCATCACTTGATTCACCCCAGACCTATCACTTGGCTCATCTCAGCTCTGTATATCAGCTCATCCCAGCCCCATCACTTGGCTCAATCCCAGCTCCATCCCTTGGCTAACCCCAGCCCAATAATTTGGCTCATCCCAGCCAAAGGAGGGGCACGAGGAGTCTGTTCCCACTGGCAAAGGGAAGATGCAGAGCCATCCCAAGGGCACCTTGTTTTCTGAGGAGAAAGGCAGCCACAATCCCGGCTTCTGGAATAAAGGGTTTCCCAGAGGAAGGCTGACTGGAGCCATCAACATCTCTGCCCTTTGAGGGAATGTCTCCCACACAATTCACAGAGTGACCAGGATGGAGGAGACCCTGGAGATCATCGAGTCCAACCCATCCCCAGCACCTCAGCTGAGCCCTGGCACCCAGAGCCACATCCAGGCTTTGTTAAACACACCCAGGGATGGGGACCCACCACCTCTCCAGGCAGAACATTCCAGAACTGTATCAGGGATCCAGGGATGGGGACCCACCACTTCCCCAGGCAGCCTTTCCAGAACTTTATCAGGGATCCAGGGATGGGGATCCACCACCTCCCCGGGCAGAACATTCCAGAACTTTATCAGGGATCCAGGGATGGGGACCCACCACTTCCCCAGGCAGCCTTTCCAGAACTTTATCACCCTTTCTATAAATAACTTTTTCCTAATATCCAGCCTGTATTTCTCTTGAAAAGCCTTTCCTCCTTCCTAATCTCTTGAACTGCAGTAGATATAGCTGATTTGGCCCCTACAACTATCAGAAATTCACAGGATGTCCTTAGCAAAATAGTTTTGTGTTACCCTAAAAATCACATCTGATGACTGATGAGGGTTTTTTAATTATGCCTTATTGATGTTAGCACCCTCCAACACTACAGCTTAATACACGTTCCCCTTGAAGCCCTTCAGGGGCGAGATGCAGCCTCACGTCTCACTGCTGCAGCCACGGTCCTGTGGGCTGCAGAAATCTTGAAAATGCTGTCAAAACGATTCACTGAGGGCAGTAACAACCAGGGCAGCACAGGGGGTAGATGTAAACGTAAATGTAAATGGTGTGGGGTAACAGCAGCTGCCTAAGAGAAGAACGTGGTACCAAGTGTGGGTGCACCCACTCGTGCCCAGATCACCTACAGGTAATGGGCACTTGCTCCAAAGCTTCTTTAAGAAAAGAAGAAACCATCAGAGGGATTCAACAGCAACTGGGGAATTAGGAATTCTTGAAGAAAAAGGAGCTGCCTTGAACAAAACTATAAAAAAAGAACAAGTGTTGATTAACTAAGTGCCAATACAATCTCCCTGTTCCAGGGAGTTCCCTGTTCCTCAGTGTCCCCTCTGGAGCCCCAGGAAAGCCTGGAATGGCTGGGATTACACCCAGGGTCTGGCACAGCCACGGTGAGGGATGAACTGGGACCCTCCCTGCCATCCCACACCGCCCCAGGGCTTTGTTCTCCTCTCCTCCACCCTCCCTCGGCCACACCTGGCAGCCACACCTCAACCTGGAGATGCAGCCTGAAGAAAACTGCCCCAAAGCTGGGTTTGAGGAGAATTCCAGGGAATTTCAGGGCTTTGCTTGGCCTCCATGCCAGAGATTCCCTTCCACACAGGGATTTCCAGCAGCCTAAGCCACGACTTGTCCTGCACAAAGAGCATTTAATCACACCCAGCTCTGCTTTCCCAACCACCTCCCACCCTCCCTATCCAATTTCCTCCACAAGTGTCCATTTTACAGCAAGGAACAAAGGAGGTGAGAATCCCCAGGGTTTGTTCAGCACAGAGACGTTGAAATCCCGGTGAAATGGGATATTTCACTCCCACTGGAGTGGAAAATAGGCACGGAAGAGACATTTTGAAGCCACAAGCAGGTAAATAAAAAGCTGCTCTTCCCACTGCAAATATGTTCAGGGGAGATGCTGCATCAGGCAGCCAGAAGGAACAGGTTTTCCCCAGGAAACTGGGGAAGTCCACAGTGATTTAAAATAATTCTGAGCCAAATCTCAAGAAAAGCAGAATTTCTTTGAAGGGAGGCACAGTAATTCTGTGGGGTGTGGGAATTCCCAGCTGAACAGAGGGAAAATGCATTTTACAGCAGCAAATTGACTCCACCCCTGCGCTGTCTCAGCTCCTGGTTTGCTCAAACCCCTCTCCAAGGAAAAATCCTGGCTGGTTCAGGGGTTCAGCCTGAGATTTATGGGGTTTGGTTCTCCAGAGCTGGGATGAAAAGGAACAGGGACCC